AAGATTAATAAGGGGAGGTGAAGGGAGGGGAGAGAGGAGAGAGGGGAGGGGAGGGGTGAGGGAGGAAGGGAGGGAATAGGAGAGAGGAAGGGAGGGAGGGAGAGAGAAAGGATAGAATGAGTGCATGCAGTGGAAAGGTTGAATTTGGTAGCGTTTACCATTTGAGAAGGCAGTTGGCATTACTAAGATTATGGGTAATTTGTTATGCACCAAACAAATTATACCTACTACTTCAGTTCAGCAAAATGAATGGTAAAAAGCATTCCAACATGTTTACTCTATGGCCATTTTCGTTGCAATAGAAGCGTAATAATAAGTATATACTATAAAGGCCTTCCTATATTGCTGGAAAGGATGGCATTGTAAGAGCAACTGTAGGTAGAAAATAAGTAAATTAAAAAGCAAAGGTAAGAAGTCTGGTCTTGAACAATTTTTATGAAATTATACAAGCATTTTAGGAGGCTGGGGATATTCAGGGATAGCTGGAATTTGAAAAGCCCAGAAGTGTAAAACATGGTTGAAAGAGAGCAGTATAGAGCCAGAGAGCAAGAGACAATGGGGTAGAGTGGCAAGAATCTATCGTGCAGTGACTCAGGAAGATGAAACAGGAGATCACTTTAGCCCTGGAGTTCTGGGCTAGCCATGACAAGATCCCTATCTTGAAACAAAAAAATACTATTAAAAATATGGATAGGAGCTGGAGAGATGGCTCAGTAGTTTACAGCACTGGCTGCTCTTGCAGAAGTCCCGGGTTTTGTTCCCAGCACCTACTTGGCTTGTAACTCCAGTTCCAGGGGATCCAACACCCTCTTTTGGCCTCTGCAGGCCTTGTGTGACACTGGTGCACTTACATACGTGCAGACAAAACACTCATACACATAAAATGAAATTAAATAAATTAAAATTTATTTTTAATTATAAAAAAATATAAAAAAATGCATTTATTCTTGACTGTCTTTTAGCAATTGTGTGACTTCATGCAAACTAATTTCTTCCCTGTTTTGAATTAGGGTCCTGTCTTTGATTTCAAGGTCTTCATAAGTGCTACTCATCAGACCAATGAAATGGCTAACCATAGAACTAAAGATATGGTTGATGCTGATCTTTTCTGAAAAACTGTTCTATTTAATATATGTTAGAACAAAACAATTTTTTTAAACAAACATATAAAGTTGTGACAACTCCCCATTTTTGTTATAATGATATAGTCAATCTAAAATTTAACATTTATCTTCTTTATTACTGTTATTGGGGAAAGGGGACATACATGCCGCAGCATACAAGTGGAGGTCAGAGGACAACCTTGTGGAGTCAGATCTCTTCTTCTACCTTTATGTGAATTCCAGGGATTGAACTCAAGTGATTGGGTTTACACCATCTGGCAGCAAGCACCTTTACTCACTGAGCCATCTCAGTGGCCCTGGCTTTCTTGTTACAAAGTTGTAAAATAATGTTAAAACAACTTTTAGTTCTATATTTTTGTTTGGTTTTGTTTTGTTTGGTTGGTTTTGGGTTTTTTTTTTTTTTTTTGGTTTGATTTGGTTTGGTTTTTTGTTGTTGTTGTTTTTTTTTTTTTTTTTTTTTTGAGAGGTCTCTCTGTAGCCCCAGCTGGCCTGGAACTTGCTATGTAAAATAGGCTGTCCGCCATCTCACAGAGCTCTCCCTGCCTCTTTTTCCCCAGTGCTAGAATAAAGATGTATACCACCATACCTGGCTCTCTAAAAATATTTTAATGCTAACTCATTCTAATTTTGAGCTTTCTCATTCCTCAGTTCTCCTAATTTGGAAAAACAGCCAAGTGAAAATGGAGTATCTATTCAGAATGAAAACTTTGAAGAAATTATAAACTTGCCTGTTGGATCAAAAGCATCCAGATTAGATGTTACCAACGAGAACCCAGAAATTCCTTTAAAACCAGTTTTGGCATTTGATGATGAAGGGACACTTGGGCCCCTACCTCAGGTAGATGGTGTTCAGACACAACAGACCACAGGTAAACTTGCCTTCAACTCCCTTCTATAATCATCAGAAACACGATACCCAAGAGAGGACAGTCATTTTGTCATTTAAGAGAATAAAGCCACTGTGGAAAAGGTTGTGATAGATCATAGAACGCTGGATTTTTAGTTCCGTTGGGCAACTTCTAGGCCCCTTCTTTACTCCCACTTGTTCTGCAGCACCCAACAGGCATCCACCAGCCTTGCTATACAACACAGCATTGGGTGCCATGCATCTCCCCCATGAGAATGTGCTTCATGTTGAGACAGATGCCTCTGTAACTGTTAGGCCATGGCTTGGCTTCCTCCCACTGGAAACAAAACTGAGGCTTTGTCAGTTTTTAGATACTTGACAGTTGCCTTGGGTTCTCTTGTCATTTTTCTCTTATTTGGGTTTGGCTACCTGGGTGCTTATGTTGTTGCTGTCTTTTTAGAACATAATGCAACAGATTACTAGGCTATCAGTAATATGAACAGCACTCCAAACTAGGATAACAATGAACCCAAGGGTCTTCCCTTGTTCAGTGACTATAATTACTACTGAACCTGCCTGGGAGTATTATACAGTCCTCATGACTCAAAATTGACCTGAAGTCTTCCTGCAAAAAAGAGCAGTAGCAATGTAGGCACCCCCAAAATAAAGATCAATACTCAGTGTTCATTGCCAGCTCAACAGCATAATCCCAGCAGGGTCAGTAATAAGTGAGATAATCCCAGCTCCTTCTCTTGGCAAACCTGAGTTTTGTCCACCTGTCTTCCCAGATCACAGTCACCAACATTTCTTTATAATTTTTTTTTTTTTTTGAGACAGGGTCTCACTATGTAGCCCCACATGGCCTGGAACTCACTATGTAGATCTCTCTAATTTTGATCTCACAGAGATCTGCCTGCCTCTGCCTCTTGAGAGCTAGGATTAAAGGCCTATGCCACCAGCTCTTTATATTATTCTTATGAAGAAAACTGGCCAAATGCCAGATACTGAAATAAAGTCAGCAAAGAATTATTTGAGGTTAAATGCTTTTGCCTTTTAGATTCAATCTGTGAACCTGTAACAACCCTTTAACAAGTAAAAGGCCCATCCCCAAAGGAAGCGTGTCTTCCTTTCTCCTCTAGTACTGATTTTAGTAAACTCCACATTCTAGGTTATGGCTGTGTCATGTAGTCCCTCTCTGACTGATTGCGAGGTCACTGGGAACAATCCGCTTCACATTCTGCTGGTAGAAACATGGCAGGTGCTGCTTCCTCCTTTGCCATGTCCAAGACTGTCAGGGAGGGAAGAACTTTACCCGATTTTCTGCTTTGCTGACATGTCTTAACTCACCCTTTAAGCTACCTATCATTACTGTCTATCCAGTGTTTTATCTTCCCTAGGAAATACGGGCTAGTTTCCAATCTTGAGTGGTGTATAGTAGTACTCCTCCAGGTAACCAATAAGCTTTCAGCCTCTGGTATAAGTTTGGAGCCCTAAGCATTGAATACTGAAGATACAAGACAAACCAATGAACTTTTCTTAGAGGTTAGGGATTTAAACTACCAATGCTTGCAGTTTATAGAAATAAGTGCTATACCCTAAGCTGAAGTAGGATGATATGCCTTTTAATCCCAACACAACGGTCTGTTCTTGTTTGTGTTCGGTTTGGCTTTGTGGTGCTAGGTGTTGAACCCGGAGCCTCATGCATGCTAGCTAGGCAAGTGCTCTACCACTGAGCTATACTCCCAGCCCCACAATTGCTTGTTCCTATGTATAATGTATATGTGAGCATGGTAATTTTCTAGAAATGTAAGATCTGCTTTCTGTAAGTAAAATTTTAGATGAATTCTTATTAATCTGCTTTCTTTTCTGTCTCCTTATGTAGAAGTTATATGAGCATTTCCTCTGAAGAACCAAAGCAAAAATTTTCTACAGTTAATGGAATTTATTTCATGTTCCAAAGGAGTATCCCCCTTTCTCCAGTTTTCTAAAGATTTCTTGACCATCATTTTGAAAAGACTTATTAAAACCAGCTAAAGACAACAGACTGGATAGCTTTTCTAATAATTTTTGCCATTAGAAAGAAAAATGCTCCTTAATCTTCGGTACCTTAAGATGGCTTTTTCTAGTGTGCTCCTTCTTAGCAAATCAATATTTTTCTGCATTCTTTACAAGACAAGAGCATTTGACTGAAAAAGATATGGGCTCTAGGCATGATTTTTCACATAGATATTTTGGTCTTTAAACTTCAATATATGAAATTGGCAAAAATAAATTACCTTTTACAATGTAATACTTGAAAAACTAAGTACCTCTTTGCTCTACAAGTAGAGTGGCTGGGAGGTGTTTAAATAAACCTGTTTATTTAAATGTTACTGCAAAGGACTCTATTTGTAGAGGCAAATGATAGGCAAATTACCAGGTCTTGTAAATGCAGCTTGTACATGGCATTCTGCAGACCTGTCTTCTTGCAACTCCTTTTATAGAAGTGTACTAACAAGCTGTGGAAAATAATTATGTTTTTCAGAGCAAGAAAATACTTTACTGTCCTCTTAAGTAATGTATTTATAAAGTTTTTTTCAGGTAAATAAAATAAATTAGAACAATGTGACAACACTGCATATTTGCTTCAGTAGATACACTGTCTGATGCTCCGTGAGGAATGTCATTGACGGTTCAGGCTGTTTCTGAAGTTTGTATGTTGCTGCTGTCCCCTGTCATGGTGGGACTTATCTTTGCCTTACGTGATCACAAATTATGTGGGGGGAAATAAAGATTTAATGTTTCTTTAAATCAAAAAAGAATTTGGTTTTGCTCGTTTCAGAGCAATGAGAAAATGCTGGACTGTTGACTGTGTGGTGCCCAGGACAAGGGTCTTCATGGATGTCCTCGTCTGTGTGCCTCAGTCAGCTTTCCACCTTCTGTCATCGCTCTCCACTTTTGCTGCTGCACCTCGCTGTACAAACTTGCACTTTGATTTGCTAATAGAAATCCAATGTTATTTTCCCACTTAAGAGACAACTAATGACTAAATGGAGAGGGAGAAAGGAATGCTGAGAGAAAATTTTATGTGGAGTGTTAAAAAAGAGATAAATTTATGCCACTATAATGTATTGGTTTTATACAGTGAGTGATTGGTTAATCCGCTGGATCGAATGAGAGACTATTCATCAATTGGATTATTTCTTTTAAATCCAAGCATATGATCTTTAGCAACAGCTTGTATTTGTTAAAACATTAAGTTGTGGGTTTTTCCTGTTCTCAGTTGTCCATGTACACATAGACATTGTATTAAAAAAAATTCTGTTCAACAAAGTTGTTTCATTTGTTTAAAATCTACCAAGCATGAAATACCAATAAAATGTTTGATGTCATTTTACTTAAAGGGTTATATATGTTATAACCTCATTCAAGTGCGTGCAAGCACGCGTGCACACACACACACTGTGGGGAGAGGCCACGGCCATGAAGTCAAGTCGTGAATCTTCAAATTACCTTTCATTTAACTTCAGTGACATTTTTCCAGCTTCTTACATATGGAAGGCTTATTTAAAATTCAGAGTAACAGTTATTTTTTGGCTAAGGTTTCTTTTTACATTTATATATTTAAGCTTATTTAATCATTAACAAACTAAAAGCTTTTTAATTGTGTTTCATTGAGAACAGCATTGCAGGACAGTGACTTTGACCCCTATAATGGCTGGATTGCTTTCTGCCTAGTACTTGAAGACCTGCATTCCCTTCTACCTTAAGGAGGTTTTCAGTAGAGCACTGTGTTTAAGGGGAGTGCTTGGGGATCAAATGAGATCTGCACTATGGAGAAAGCTTGAGTGGCTTTCAGGTTCCTTCTACACACTGCATACTGTACAGGCCAGTTTGGTCATTCTTCAACTACAGGTTCATTTGGAAGGCGCCTTTGGCTACTACAGGAATGTAAGTCTGTATGTTTCCGCCTGCATAACCTCACTGCCTCACTACCTAGGCCCATGCACACAAGTGATCCCCAAGTACTCTCCTTTAGTAAGACCATCTTAAAGAAATGATTTTAAAAAACTTTAATTATAAACTGTGATGTGGTGTGGTGTGGTAACACTGTGATCCCAGTATTCAAGAGGCTAAGGCAGGGGGATGATGAGTTCCAGGTCAGTCTAGGTTAAAAAGTGAGACCCTGTCTCAAAACACACCCAGACCAACCTACACTTCCCAAAAATAAAACCATAAAAACTTGTGTATTTGTACACATGTAATTTAACTCTTATCTTGCCCTAAGGGTTGGTTAGATAGCATATGAAATACCAAACTATCGTCTAAATCAATAGCAGTAGTAGTCGGCATAGGGATGTTAAGAACTTTTCATTGGTACATGCAGTTTGAAAAGGAAGTGGTCACCTAGAAAAATTTATAGCGTCAAAATGCTTGAAGTGTAGTCCAGGCTGGTCTTCAACGCATGACAATCCTGCCTCAGCTTCCCAGGCTTTGGTTATAGGCAGTACCACTACATTTCAGATCAAATTATTACATATTAAATTTAATAGTTACCCATAAATTCACCTGTCTTAACTCAGTGTTTTAAGACCTTGCTGTCTGACCCATGTTTAACTCATGTTCTTGTTCTCTCTCTCTCTCTCTGGTCTCTGTGTGTGTGTGTGTGTGTGTGTGTGTGTATGTGTGTTTGAGATAGGGTTTTGCTAGCCTCATATTTGCTAACCTTGCCCCCCGCTTAACTGATGAAAATCAGCTACTAGGTTAAGTCTATTTTGTGTACTAAACATTAAAAGACATAATGAGGGGCTGGAAAGATGGCCCAGCAGTTAAGATCACTGGCTGCTCTTGTAAAGTACCCAAGTTCAATTCCCAGAACCCATATCGCAGCTAACATTCATCCATAACTCCAGTTCCAGGGGATCCCATACCTTCCTCTGGCCTCCACAGGCATTGCATGACATGAGTACACTTACATACATGTAGGCAAAACACATTAAATAAATCAAAAAAATTAAGACATAACGAGCTATTAATATTGCATCCAATTAGAGAAAGCATTTTTTGGAAACGCTTTCGGGAAACTTTCAAGAACATTCCCCCTTCCCCTCTCCTGCTTTTACCCTGAAACCTAAGCACACTCAGAAGTACTCTAGGTTGTCATTTCCTGCCACCTCACTGGTTTGGAGAAGTTCTGAAGGCTTGTTGGAAGGTGGGCGAGGAGGACATCATGTATATAGAAGGGACGCTTTACAGTGAGTGCAAATAAAATATTTCCTTGGTGATTGCAGTTTTTATGTTTGATAGGTTTGACTACAATATTAGCAGTGAAAAGTCATTTTAGCAATTAATGCCAAGATTAAGGAAGTTCAAAGGAGAGGCAATAGCTCAGCAGTTAAGAGTACTGGCTGCTCTGGCTGAGGTCCCAGGTTCAGTTTCCAGCACCTACATGGTGGCTTACAACCACCTATAACTCCAGTTCCAGGAGATACGATGCCCTCTTCTTGCCTTCATGGGCATTGCATGCATGTGGTGCACTTATATGCATGCACACAAAACACCCATACATACAAGATGTAAATTTTTTAAGAAATTTGAAAAAGTTCAAAAGAAATTTAAATTCCTATTTAAAAGTATACACTAAAAGAAATAGTGCTGGGCATGGTGGTGCACACCTTTAATCCCAGCACTTGGGAGGCAGAGGCAGGTGAATCTCTGTGAGTTCAAGGCCAGCCTGGTCTCCATAGTGAATCCAGGACAGCTGGGGTACAGGGAGACCCTGTCTTGCTGTGGTTGTATGTGTGTGTGTGTGTGTGTGTGTGTGTGTGTGTGTGTGTGAGGGAGAGAGGGAGAGAGAGAGCACTCAGTCTCTCTCCCAACTACTCAGTTGTTATTTTGGGGGTGACATAGAGACCAGTCACCTAGTACTTTAACTGTGTAGGTGGCCCTGTCACCTGTGTATGGTCCTGTGGCAGCCCTCCTGGAAAATGTCACCTGATAATGAGGAAAGCAGGGAGTGATTATTCCCATGACAGGAATAATGACCACACATTCTCAGACTGCCTGAGACAGTCCCCAGTTATGTCAGTCCTTGGAGTAAGCATTAATATTCCCCTTTTTTTCTCATCGAAGGGCCTCTGGACACAGATTACATCTTCAAGCTAATGCAGCCCCTTCCTGGTTCCCACAGGCAGCCTGTCTCTTGAGCGTGGCCTGATTTATCCCCATCTCTAGTCAGCAGATCTCTGACCAGACCATGATACACTTTGTCCCCAAGACTTAAAAGAACCACCAGACTGTGAGAGCCATTTGAAGCCTCACTAAACACCAGCAGGAACTGCCTATATGCTGAAGTCACTTCGTGCATTCTTTTTAAAATCACACAAATACCACTCTTCAGTTCTTCCCTTATCAAAGACAGGCTGAGTGCCCTGTGCTGCCTGCTCCTTTGCCCTATTACCATTACTGACTGAAAGATGATTCTCTATCATCCTACAATCCACACTACTTCTCTCTGCTCCCTGGTCTTCTCTTAATAATGACATCATCACTCACTATCCAGATGGAAGTGACAAGGGTTGCCATGACAAAGCAAACAGTCTGCGCTGGCAGAGGCTTCTGTGTGGGTTGTGTATCCCTTGAGCTTTGGCTCTCAGAGCTGAGGAAATCTGCCTGTCTGACAGCCTGGAAATAACAATAAAATAGAAAAGTCATGGGAAACTTGGCAAGATGTTTAAAAACACACATCAGTGCAGTAAGGCTGTGAAAACAGGAGCCTTCATTGTGCTGTGCAAAGCCAGAGAATGCAGACATCATCAATTCTAAACTACACTGAAACCACAGAACTCTGCTAAATAGGACTTCTTCCTTTCTGTTTCTTATCTCCACTTTTCTGTTAATCAAATGTGATGAGAACCATTTAAGCAACCAGAGAGTCAACAACAATATGAATAATAATGTTCATTTTTTGTTAAGAATATACTCTGTGCAAGCCTCGGGGGCTTCATTTGAATTCTCCCAATAGCTGGGAGAGGTAAGTCTCTTCCTCTTTAGAGATGAAGAAATTGAGAACTTGAGATAACTGAATGAGGTCAGCCTGTGTTCCCTCTACCAAACACACCCAAAGGACAGTTACAAACCTCCATAACTAATGTCACTATTTGAAATTTTAGGGATGGGGTGGAAGGAGAATGTATAGATTTGAAAACTAAAGCGTCCATAACTGTGCATACCTGTTTTTCACCTTAGCCCTGAGATAACATAATGAATAAAATCAGCACACCAGATCAGCGGTCATGGGCTATAAATATTAACTTGATTCCCCATTTTGTTCTCCCTGCTGTTCCCATGGAGACATAGCTTCTCAATTTATCTGAATTCAAACCACCCAGGGAATATGACTGTGAGAGCTTGGAGAGAGGCCCAGTGGAGACAGGCACTGTGCAAAGGCCTTGGCACCTGTCTGACTCATTCCTTTTCCTTCTCTCTCTCTTTCTCCCTTTTCTGTTTTCCTCAGAAACTGTGGTGTGAATCTGGTTCATAATATGGTTCTCCACTTGCAAGAGAGAAATTCTCAGGAAGAAAAGAAACCTCTGTGGTGACTGCATTTCTGGCATTTGCCAGCCCACACCACCTTACCCAAAGCAACTCTCTGAGGACTGGGAATCATCTCTAGACAGGGCAGATGTCACTTATACTCTTAGGGACTAATTAGACATTCCACACTATCTAGCCCAAGCTAGCCTCCTACATTAACCTCCTGCGTGCTGGGATTAGAGACATGAGCCACTACATCTGGTTCATTTAAGCTTTTATGCTTATATTTTATATTGGGATATATTTCTATTTTCCTGTAAGCAGTGAGGATGTTTGAAAACAGAAACCACCTTTAGATAAAGCCTGATGGCATAATGTGCCCACAAGTGCTGTCTCCTAATTCTTCCTGATTTTTATCCCTATTTTCTTCCTTATTTTTCATGATATGTATTTAAAATAAACAAATACAAACTGTAGGTCAAAAAATAACCTCTGGGGCCATTGAGATAGCTCAGTGGATGGCATTTGTTGCCAAGCCTGAGGACAAACCCAAGTTTGATCCCTGAGAACCCACATGGTAGTAGGAGAGGACTCCCACAAGTTACCTTCTAACCTCCACATGTGTGCTGTTGTATGTGCACACACACACACACACACACACTAAATATAATTGTTTTAAGTTCTGGGTCCATCTAAGTATTACTATTCACTATATATGTGAAAAAAAATTAATATCTAAGAACATTAATAGCATCCAAAATAAACCACATTGATAATAATAAGCTTAATTATCTTGAAAGAACACAACAACAAAAACCAGAATAACAAAACTAAGGACAAGTTGTTTATTCATTTTTCTTT